CTGACCCATCTCTAGGTTGGCGTTGTCTATACCCTGTTCGACAACATCCCTACCCTCTTGCATAATTTGTCGTCTTTCGGGATCTGTTGCGAGTTCTATATTGGTTTCAAATACTTTCTTCTGTTCTCTTAGGGCTTTAATCCTGACTTCGGGGGGTCCTTTGGGAGAGGTTACTCCAACAAATTCCCTCCTCTCCTGTGTGGTTATTTTTCCTTCACTTCCCAACCTTTCCGCGTGGTCATTAAGGTTGTCACCCGCGTTGACAGTTTCCTGACGTAATTCTTCCCTAGCGTCCTCGAGGATGTCTTCTGTGGTTACTCCTGATGATTCTCCTTCGGTTTCCTCTTCGACTACACTTTTAGGCTTTTGAATGTGTTCAAAGACTGCTGTGTTGAATTTGGTATCGAATTCCGATACGAATTTTTTATATCTTTTGTTGGTGGAAAATCTGTATATACCATTTGTATCAATGTAAGCGACTTCAACTCCTTTGAATGTCAACTTATTTTTAGTGATGTCCAAACTGGATAAAAGGTTCCTAGAAACTGGACCATCGTTTGCATTTATATTGTATTTGGACTCCTGGAGTCTTCTAATATATTCTGACTTTATGTTGTCGAATTTTCCGTATGTGCCCAGTTCGTCTAACTCCCATTTCCTTTTTCTGTAGGAGTCGTCCTAATTTTTCTCACGGAAACTGGAGGTTTTTGCATCGTCTAGTCTATCGTTGCCGTCTAGTCCGCTCCGGAAATCGTCTTCATTAACAGGTGTATCATCAAGAACACCCTCATCACCTCCTTCAGCCCCTTCTGGTTGGTCGAAGTCATTCATCTCTATGGTGTCCATTTTTATTTTAGTCTAAAGATAATTCTTGTTCATAGTACCTTCCCAAAATGTCCTCCCCGTCCTCCGGATCCTTGAGGCTGTACATGTTCGGATCTCCCCGAAACACCGCTGTAATGACATATACTTCGTTGTCAAAATTGGGTTCATATCCCTTTTCAAAGTTCTTGTGCTTTATTTCCACCCTGACATGATCCCCAACCTTGAATTTGGGATTTGGAAAACTGCTTAGTGGATATCCATAAATCCTTGTCCAAACTTCGTCCTTATTTTCCTCATTCACATCCGCTGGTCTCATTCCTATTGTTCTGCGTGTGGATTTATAATAGGATCTAACTAGAGCAGGTAAGATGTCCACCCAAACTTTCGTCCTGTTTTCCGTAAAGTATTTCCACATCCTTGTTTTTAAAGTTCTATTGAATCTCTCGACGAGTGCGGCTTTCCGGAAGGTTCTTGTGGAAAAGTAGTGGACATCATGATCCTTTAGCAATGTCTTTACTCCTACATGTAAAATTCCTTTCCATCGTCGAATTGAGCCGTTTTTTGGGTATCTGCCAAACCTCTCCTTAAATTGTGTGAGCACATTTTCGACAGCCTTCGTCATGCTTTCGGTATTTTTCCTCCATACGGGAATTGCAAAGGCATACCGACTTAGAACCTTTATGACAGTAAGAATCCAACGGTTTCCCTTATTCTTGTGGCTAAACTTGCTCATATCCACAAGATCCATTTGGATCTGTTGTGCAAGTCCGTCCACATTGGTTCTTTGGGTTTTGTAATGTTTTCTGGACGGTTTGTGAATAATGTAGGTATTTTGTGTTTGTAACCATTCCTTAACATTTTTTCGACTAACTCCCTTTATACCCTCCTCCTTTGCACTTTGGTATAATTTTTCCAACGACATGTACCCACCATTAACGTTAAAATATATTTCTCGAAGAGCTACATCCAGTGCCAGACTCATTTTATTACCTGTAAATAAAACATGAAGAAGATAACGACCTATATTGAGGGTGCAGGGGTTACCCTGAATTTACAGGATCCACTGATCCTTACCCATGGATCTGAACTTTACGTGAAGACTGCTGCCGTGTTTTGGAATTATAAGAACGTTCGCAAGGGTTACAATGACTACATCTCCGTAGATGGGAAGAAGATTATGATAGATGAAGGGTACTGGACCTTTAAACAGCTTTGGAAAGAGTTGCAGAAAAACGGATTGGCACTTAAGGAATATCCTGATGGGAGGATAAGGATTGACTTTGCTAAGGGAACAAATTCCGCAGGACTCCAAAATCTCACGAGTATTTTAGGATACCGATCCTCCAATGGTCCCACATACACCCCACATATCAGCGATCGTCCCGTAGATATTCATGAGGGCTTGCGATACCTCACAGTCAGCTGTAACCTTGTGAACCGTGAGCATAACATTGGACCGTACGGAAATCGGAGTACCGTCATTACTTCCCTTCCCATTGATGGAACCAGACCTCTCTTCGGAACCACAACCAAATACAATGACATTGAAAGTCAAGTACGGATAGATGCTGGAAAATACAGTAAAATTCGGTTTGAAATTGTGTCTAATACCGGAGCTGTTCCCGGAGATGTTCTGTTATAACTTTACATCAAATAAAAGAATGAGTGAGGATATCTTCCGAAACTACTACGGAAAGAATTATGAGAAGGTTAAGGGGGCAGCACCCATCAAAATCCGGAAAATGAAAGAGAATTTTAGGAGGAAATATCCTAATGCAACCCTATCTAAGTTTGACTTTGAGGTTACCTTCGCTAAGGATGGGACCGTAGAGTCCAGAGACATCTTCTATAAGGTGGAGGAGCTTACAAGCTATGATATCACATCCGACACATTTCGTACAAATCCTGAGTGGACCAAGTACCTTCACTGGGTAGAGGGGTGGCGAAGTGTTCTTCCGGATGCAATTTTCCGTCCGAATAAGGATTTCAAGATGAATGTGCATACCTTTAAGGTCTACGTTACGGAGACAGGGAATTTCCTGACGAAATTGGAGACTATTAAACCGATATATGATAAAACCCCGGGAACATTCATCAATACTATACCCTTTGATTACCATTCGAACTCCTACTTCTGCTCCTTAGCAGCATGCTATGTTGCTATGTTTAAGAGGCATTGTCTGCAAGAACGGTCCAGCAAATTCTGACTCAATTTTTGTTTGGCTTCATAATATATCAATAACTTCCTTGATGTGTCCTGATTCTTGTTCAAACTGTGATTTCTTGAAAATTGTCTTATTATTTTGTTTACCCTCAAATATGTTTGACATGTTCAGGAATCCAAAATGGCGCTCACGATTACGACGGATATTCGCAATTTTTCTAACTATATACCGAAGTCGTGCGAGGGTCCACAAAACATGTATCCGTATTGTTTTATTGAATCATGCATGTTCTCTTCACAAAAGTAATAATAAGCCAAATATCTATTTGGAACCGGCGATTTTAGTGGCAGTAATATTTGCCCCATTGCAGTCCATCATTCATGATCGAAAACCTAATGGATTCCACAAGGCGTAGTAAAAAAGTGGATTGCTTCTGAAATTTAATTCCTATTAAAATATGTATATGAATAACTAAGTTATTCATATCAAATCAGAAAAGTTTTGGTCAAACTCATTTTCCGCGACAAAGGAAGGGTTCTTTGTGAGGCAAATCGTCCCTTATGCATGGGCGCGCTAACATTTAAGAGATCGTATTCTGGCCACTATTTCTTGTTAATTCTCGTCTTAGGTTTATTGGAGAACAATGCTGGTCCATTTAGTTAAAATTTCACTTTGTATGACAGAATTTTGTAAGTTGGAGATGGATATTTTTCCATACAAACGCGATTAGGAGGCACTACATCCCCGCTCGGTGGTCACCTGTCAATTAAAACTTCTGCAACAAATCAATAATGTTTGTGTTTAAAGAAGGCGTTTTATAACTTTTCTTTAATCTATTATTTTTAGACCAATTCAGTCACCATTATTGGAAAGTAGTTTGTATTTGAAGTATATTTGTAGTTTTGGCTTTTGTTTATAATATGCATATTTCGCTGGTAATTAAAAGTGTTGTCGATTTCAATGTTTCTCTTAACATCCGGTTTCAATAAGGGGCGGACCATTAGAAAAGTGATGGGGGGGGGAAGCAAAAATAAAAATCGAGCAGGGGATACAGAAAAAAACTTCGAGCACGAAAAAAGTTTTAAAAAATGTGTGCAAAGACTTTTCAATAGGGGAAATTATTAGTTGTGTAAGGGTGGCTCCCCAAATTTGGAAAATAAAACGTTTTTTGATATAAGTAATGGTGTGAGAAAAAATTTTCTAAACATAAATGTTGCAGATATTGGTGCAAAAAACGCGTTTAAAGCATGTTTTAAGTAAAATTTGTCAGGGAAAATGTGTTTTGGACCTTTAAATGAACTGAAGTTAGTCCGTAAAAATTTTTTGACCCTTTTTTTATGTCCTGAAAAACTATTTATGTCCGGAAAAATGCCCCCCGCCCCTTCGATCAAGGATTAGTAAAAAAAAATTAGCGACACAAGCAAAGGATTTTGAAAAAATGATCGCACACGTTGGAAATGGACCCCCCCCCCCCTAACTTTTCTAATGGTCCGTCCCCAACTGATTAAGTGTAAATAAAACGGCGCTTTCGTTGTTTGGCATGCTTTTCCTTTATTCTCTTTAACCATGTCTGGCAAATGCTTTTTAAGTGAGAGAGACCCAAAACTATGTGGAGACTCTCGAGGTCTGAGTGAGATATTTTGGCTTTCTTCATGCAATGATAGTGTGCGGGGACACCTCGAAAGGTTGCACATTTCTGGAGAAATCGTTTCTGAAGTAGAACTGATTCTCGCTAGAGTCGGAATGTTTTACGTAACAATGTTTTTCGGCTGAGTGTCAGTTGTATTCATACTTGTCCAGATCTCCGCAAATCGATTGCATTATTATAATCCATAGTCTTTATTGTTTTGCAGGTATTTGCTCTAGCTGCATGCCGTAAGAGTCACAAAACAAATGTAGGCTAGATAAAGAGGAAAACGCCTGGTTTAGAAGCGAAAGCCGTTCTCCAGAAAGTCCAGAGGTATTCACCCACTATGCGAGGTATCAACACGAGTGGAAATTTTACTGAAGGCTCTGGAATCCAGGGTAAATTTCCACTCGTGTTGATATAACTGTATATCAACACGGAAAATATTCTATATTTGTTAAAATGGTCTTTCGTTCGTATATAAAACGAACTCAAAGTTGGAAATAAAAGGAAAACATTTAAAGGCTTTAAAAGACATCTTGAGATGAGTAAAATTTATTCTATAGTTTTATGTTTGCTGCTATAATTTACCAGGCACCATGCATGTTTTATTTATACCTCGCATAGTGGGTCAATACCTCTGGACTTTCTGGAGAACGGCTTTCGCTTCTTAACCAGGCGTTTTCCTCTTTATCTAGCCTACATTTGTTTTGTGACTCTTACGGCATGCGTCTAGAGCAAATACCTGTAAAACAATAAAGACTATGGATTATAATAATGCAATCGATTTGCGGAGATCTGGACAAGCATGAATACAACTGACACTCCGTATACAGGCCCTTAGTCTAGAAACTCAAAATCAATATTAATCACTTATGTGCTCCGAGAGGTATAAATACCCCATGCTGTTTTTGCACATCTTTGCACATTTGCAAGCTATTAATAACATCAGAGCCCTTTACGGATTTTCGAGCTCCTGTGCATGTGGGTTGGGTGATAACAGGAACGTTTAGATGGTCTCTAAAATCTTCCAAACTTGTGCCTGTCATAGGGACATATTTCCATTTTTTCTCTTTCATCTTTTGTTACGTATAACATTCCGACTCTAGCGACAATCGGTTCTACTTCAGAAACGATTTCTCCAGAAATGTGCAAGCTTTCGAGGTGTTGCATGAAGAAAGCCGAAACATCTCACTCAGCCCTCGAGAGTCTCCACATAGTTTTTGGTCTCTCTCACTTAAAAAACATTTGCCAGACATGGTTAAAGAGAATAAAGGAAAAGCATGCCAAGCAACGAAAGCGCCGTGTTATTTACACTTAATCAGTTATTGAAACCGGATATTAAAAAAAACATTGAAATCGACAACACTTTTAATTACCACCGAAATATGCATATTATAAGCAAAAACCAAAACTACAAATATATTTCAGACATTTCAAATACAAACTACTTTGAAATAATGGTGACTGAATTGGTCTAAAATACATTTTATTTAATAAATAATAGATTAAGGAAAAGTTATAAAACGCCTTCTTTAAACACAAACATTATTGATTTGTTGCAGAAGTTTTAATTAACAGGTGACCACCGAGCGGGGATGTATTGCCTCCTAATCGCGTTTGTATGGATCTCATAAATGTTAGCCCGCCCATGCATTAGGGACGATTTGCCTCATAAAGAACCCTTCCTTTGTCGCGGAAAATGAGTTTGACCAAAACTTTTCTGATTTGATATGAATAACTTAGTTATTCATGTACATATTTTAATAGGAATTAAATTTCAGAAACAATCCACTTTTTTACTACGCCTTGTGGAATTCATTAGGTTTTCGATCATGAATGACGGACTGCGATGGGGCAAATATTGCTGCCACTAAAATCGCCGGTTCCAAATAGATATTCGGCTTATTATTACTTTTGTGAAAAGAACATACATGATTCAATAAAAAAATACGGTTACATGTTCTGTAGACCCTCGCACGACTTCGGTGCAAAGTTAGAAAAATTGCAAATATCCGTCCTAATCATGAGCGCCATTTTGGATTCCTGAACATGTCAAACATATTTGAGGGTAAACAAAAAAATAAGACAATTTTCAAGGAATCACTGTTTGGACAAGAATCAGGATACATCAAGGAAGGAATAGATATATTATGAAGCCAAACGAAAATTGAGTCAGAATTTGCTGGACCGTTCTTGCAGACAATGCCTCTTAAGTCCGGAATTTCTGAGGATCATCTTACAAATAATTTTCCCAGCTCACACTCCAACATAGTAACCTCTATCGTGCGTTTTCACCTTCATTTTCACCTATCGAGATTCATGCGTAATCCGAAACTCCTGGACCAGTACCTTACAGGGGATGATAAAGAACCATTAGGAAGTACACACCCGTACGTGAAACATGGGAGAAAAGGTCGGATTCTTCCCATGCAAACCTTGGGACATGGTACTACAACAAGCCTGTGAGTGAACAGAGGAGAATACGTCGTCAAAAGTACCACCTGACTAAATATGGAGGTTCATCTATCGAGTATGAATACCTGACTGGTAGGTTACCCTTCGATGTTGAAAATGACTATAAAACCTTTATTCCTAAAACATCCCGAGGACTTACCAAAGTTGGATAAAAGCTATTCCAACAATCGATCGAAGCATTTGTGTACTCTGTTCTGGGGGCACAGGCCAAAACCCGGTGGAGTATTACAGGTCAGGGTGCAAAGAGCCTGCAGACACAGGAGGTTTTTCGGAAGGTAGCAAGGGATACAGTTGTTCAGGATTATGTGACAGTATGTGACATGAGAACAGCTATCGCAAGCACACATGTTGTCCTAAATTTCGCTATCATGCCGGGTCTAATCCTAATTCCTTCGGACTTGAGGATTTTAACAAAACCTATTCCAGGATTTAGCAATGTTCTAACGGTAGCTAAGAATGGGATGATGTTTGGGAAAAATGAGAAGGTAAATTATACTAGTAATCCTGTTCCTACCCCTACGAATAATATAGACGAAAGCCGTGACATTACACCAGCCCCAATCGTGGAGGACTTTAAACCCCCAGAACTAAGGCAGAAGTCTGATACTCAAAATATTGCTCTTGGCACAGCGTCAGTAGCATCCTTCGGGCTTGTATACCTGGTATTTAGACGTTAAATAAAAATGAGCATTTTATTCGGGTACGATTACTTTGACACAACAGCGGAAGATCTGAACACTTTGAAACGGAAGTTGGTAACAGTCGAAAAAGCACAGCAGGGAAACACAGCAGAAGTTGCTAAACATGCGAACGACATCGTAAGGTTGAATAGCCTTGGAAAATATTCAGTAGAGTACGACTTTACCCAGATACCCGGATATTCACCCGGATTTCTCCAAACGCCCATCATTTCCGATGTGGACAGGAAGAACGCAAGGTTCATCGGGTTTAGTGTCAGTGATGGAAAAAATACGGCAACATCCTCCACCCTGTACGGATTTCGCGACGATGCTATGGGAACAATCATTATATTTACACGCGATCAGAGCAGCAGAATCATTCAGGTTTCGTTCACGTTCTTTATCGTCCTGAATTCAGGAAATATGAATGTACAAATTTTTGGCTTGGAATCCAGGGACGTAGACTCTGCTGGAAATGTAATCAACAGAACAAGGACTACAAACATAAATTGCTTCCTTCTGACAACATAAGATTTTTTTAAATCTTTTTGTAAGATTTAAAATATTCGTGTTAATCCGTAGGCACCACCAACTCCCAGGATACCCATTGTCAACACTGCATATATTTTCATTTCGTCTAACGGTTGATAGTAATCCTCCAATTTCGGTCTGCGCTGGGATGCTCTACTATCCATAAGCCTTGTATAATCCCTCAGGTCTTCCAGTGCCCTATTTGTTTCCTCGATATCCTTGTTAGCATCCAGGATCTCAGCCCTCCGTCTTGCCTCGTCGTTCCTCCGCTTCACTTCGGATTCGTAAAACTTCTCCTTAGCTTTCGCAAGCTTCTCCAAGGCTTGGTTATGTCTTTTCACCTCCTCCTTGTATCCTTGTCCATTCAACTTGGAAAATAGAAAACCTGCCCCCAGCAAAAGCCACAGCATTAAAGAGTCCTCCAACCACAACAGATGTCATTCTTTATTTGTCAATTACTTTTGGGATATACCCTTTATCCTTCAGGTATCCTATGGCAAATGCACTTCCTGCCACAGCAACAGCAAGCTTTGCTGCTCCTTCCATAGTCATCGATGAACCGAGGTCATCATACCATAGTCATCCGGCAACCGTCTTGGCAAGGTAGGATACCCCAACAACTCCGGTTGTCAATAGCGCAGCATCGTAAAGTTCGTTGATCACTTTCTTCTTCGTGTCGGTCATTATGTTTTCATTATAGTAGAACTATTTCTCCTTTAGCTTCTTGTCCAGGATTAGAGAGAATCTTTCTTCTAAGATGTCAAGCATCCTGTCTCACTCGCCTTGCGTTCCGCTTCTACCGTTTTGCGTTTGGCTTCTTTCGCCTTAACCGTATGGATGTAAATCAGTGCGGCTCCAACTGCTACGGAAAAGGTTAGTATGTCTAGGAATAATTGTGACATTGTTTTATTATACTCAGTCAAACAGGTCTGGACCTTTCGGTGTAATAACAACGGGTTTCGGCTCCTCTACAATCTTATTTTCCTCAGGCTTCTCGTCCTTTTTCTGACGACTACACCACATAACATAAACACCCACTACTAAGCCGACTCTCTCTTGGGTGACTATTGACCCATCGCCTTTGTCTTCTGTGTCCGGAATGCTCTGCTCCTCTTCTTTGATAGCCTCAAGTTGTGCCTTCTTTCTTGCTTTTGCTTCCTTACTGATCTTAGAAAGCTACGTCCCGACTCCACTCTCCTGGGATCCTTGACGTGGGTCTTTACTGGATTTGTGACAGGTACTGCAGTCGTATCTGGGTTCTCTTCTGGCATGGTTTTATTTATAGAGGAAAAAGTTCAAGTAACCTTAATTCTACTCAGGAGTATCTCAAAATATTTTTGAGTAAGTTCTAAGTAAAAATTAAGTAACCTTAATTCTGCTTGAAAGTATCTCAGGATGCTCCGATCGGTCCTTAATCTTACTCAAAAGTACCTCAAATTCAGAATCAACATATTTGTAAGTCTTACATTCATACAAGTAGGGTAACCATGAAACGATTAGTCAGAAAAAAACGTAGGTTCGGATTCGTCTTCGACTGTCATGAAAAAGTACCTCAAGTTGAAAGGATGTGTAAGCGGGTTAACTACAAAGACATAATGTTCATTATAGAAATCAGATACGACAATAGATTGACAAGGTTCAGCTTTAAGTTCGGAAATGGGCTGATGGGAAAAAACGCTGAAATACGTAAGGTAACGTTTCCCAACGAAGGGGAGGAGGGTATACTACCGGGTGTCCCAAAAAAAGTACTCCGGTTTGATTCGTAATAACTTCGAAACAAGTAAAGCTTTTAAAGAGAAATAACTTGCATCAAATAGAGGAAGCCCTAACTTAGATTTTGATATATTACACTTGTATTTCACTTAAAAATTCGCGGAGATATTAATGTTTAAAATCGGGAGCATATTTCTGGATGTGTCTGAAATATGCAAAAAACGGGGTATCAAATATTAATCAAGATTTGCCCGACTGAAGCATGCACTATTACCAGTAAATAAATTACACTTGACAAATTGTTTATTATGAAACAAAGTATTGTTATCTACAAAATACAAGGAAGATTTATTTTTCCGAAATCCGCGTGTGTTCCTATAGCACGAGTACGTTTCCTTATTTCATAAGACCACTGACTGCATCGCGAAGGATCGTCATGGATCGTTCGTGTTCTGAATTAGGGGATGCTGTCACAATGGAATTGTGAAGCTCTTCTAACTTTTGCAACGTTCTGAAATCTTGTTAAGAACACTCAATCTTTTTTGCTTTTTCTTAATCTTGGCAAGTTCAGAATAAACTAAGAATGAAACACAATCAAACCATACAACTCCATAAAACATAACAAGCAACTCCCCAGAGACATCCAACATTTTTGGAACAAAACGTAACAAAATAGTAGCGTTGATACTGTGATGTGTATTTTCAAAATGCAGTATTATTTCCTTCATTAAAAAATAATATTCATCCTGCTCTAATCGAGAAATATTCAACTCTTTTTCCAACTCATGAAAAGCATAAAAAATATAGGCTATTTAAGAAAAATTTAAGCGCCTGCCTTGAATGGTCTTTCATGTACCTTTAAGTTTGTATTAAAGACCTGTTAAATACTTTACGTTTATATTTCGTAATATAATACGTTTATATTTCAGGAAACAATGAGCTTAGATGTAAGATGTCTAAATCTACGCCATATCCTTATACAATCCCTGACGACAATTCGCTGAAATACAAGTTAGCCTGATATGTCATTAAACAAACAAACGCTGGAGTTAATATTTGATGTGCCGATTTTCGCTAATTTTAGACACATCCCAAAATATGCTCCCGATTTTGAACATTAATATCTCCGTGAATTTTTAAGTAAAATACAACTGTAATATATCAAAATCTAAGTCAGTCCTTCCTCTATTTAATGCAAGTTATTTCTGTTGATAGCTTTACTTGTTTAGAAGTTATTATAAATCAAACCGGAGTACTTTTTTGGGACACCCGGCAGTTATCGCTAATACAGCTAGGTGTACCATTGCACACAGTACATGTTACATCAGAAACATGAAGGACAAAAGAGATGTAATCGACCTAGGTGCTGCCGAATCCCTTATTGCTGGTTATAACGGAAAAAAGTTGAATGAAATAGTGGTTACCCTATTAGGACCCGACACAGCAAAGGAAGTCCTCCGAGGTCAAGTTGATTAATGTTACCAGGTCACTACCTGGCGAGGTTGTCAAATCCATAGACGCAATTGCGGATCCTCTGCCTTACAAACAGAATCAACTTTCCAAAAAGAAATCCTATATAATAAAAAAACATTGCTCATGCGTTCGACTCCGTAAGTTTTTTGTGAACTCCATTGTTTTTTCAAATCTTTTGGGTCTGAAAAAAACAGAATCAACATTCAAACCACATCACAGATTAAAAAAAGTTTATCTATACAACAAAACAATGTAGTTTACTAAACAAAGTACTCCGATTTCGAACAAAAAGTTCACATCTATAGAACGGATGAGAACTAACGTTCTGGAAAAGCCCCGAGAAAGGGGTCTAAAAATTGAAGAAAATTAACAACCATTTCGACGAATTACTCAGGAAGGAAAAGAGAAAGGTAATTGGAAAGGAAGTTAAGACTGTCGCAAGGCAGTTCTAGAGACGAAGAAAACAGATTGAGGCTGACGCACGAAAGGCAATAAGGGATGCAAAGAAATGGAAAAGCGATATCGTTAAGGAAGAAAGAAGACGGCGAAAAGAAGTCACGGACTGGAAAGCCGAGGCACAAAAGTGGAAAAAAGAATCCCAGCGATTACGACGAAATGCGAAGGCTCGGGAAAGACGAGCTGAGGAGAACCGTAGGATCGCAGAGGGCAAGTGGAGAGGTAAGAGAAAATTCGGTAGGCTTCAGCTAAAGGTGGGTAACAAGTTTAGTAAAGTCTGGGAAAAACCGAGGGAAATCCTGAAACCCATCCTAACCAAACATGCCATCAACAAAAAGGTAAAGAAGTACGTCATCACCCCAAATGGCGCCTACGATCCATTCTACTTCCTAACCATCACGGAAGACGAGGTTAGAAAACTCATAAACTCGGAAACGGAACCCAGAAACGTAAGAATGTCACTAACCTGTGAAATGGTAAGGGATGACCCTAAAATCGGGGAAGAAGTGTCAACCACCGCTCACTTCGGATCAAAAAACCACAAACTTATCGGTACGGACGATACGGAAGAGGCTCAAAGCATTATGAGGGAAAAAATGCTAAAGTCCTTCTCGGAATATCAGAGAAGGGGTAGTGGATGGAGACTACGAAGAGTTATCCAACTGGAGATCCACATCGGAGAATTCCAACCACTTAGAGGAAAAAAGCACGAACCCCTACCCAAATCCATAGCCAGCAAAAAGGCAATCATTAATATGAAGAACGACGACGACGAATGTTTCAAATGGGCCGTCACACGTGCCCTAAATCCCGTCGACAAAAACTCGGAAAGAATCACAAGAGAACTCAGGGAACGGTCCAATAAGCTAAACTGGGAAAGGATCGAATTCCCAACACCTATAAATAACATCAAAAGGTTCGAGGAGAACAACAATATTTGTGTCAACGTGTTCAGTGCCGACGAAAGCCTTAAGGTATACCCCTTACGGATATCAGGGAAAACCGATCCCATAAGACTCTTCCTATGGAAAAACCATTACAGTGTCATCAAGGACATGTCAAGACTCGTAGGCTCACAAATCAGCAAGAACGAACACAAAAAATACATATGCGACCGATGCATTAATGAATTCGGATCAAATGAACTGCTAGAGAAACACTTAGAATTATGTTCGAACAACGACTACCAAAGACACGAATACCCAAAACTCGGTAGCACTACAAAATTCGAAAACTATGGGAAGACACAAACCGTCCCATTTG